GTTTCTTTGGGTGTGTGAGTTTCTGCCCTCTTCCCAAAAGCGTGCAGGTTAGGGTGACTCTGAATTGCCCCTGTGTGGGCTGTTTCACATGAGGCCAACCGAAGATGTGAAAACGTCAGACGCAGAACCCAGTGAGTCAAAAGGCCTCCTCTCCTTTGATGGAGCAGAAACGTGTTGTGCTGTGAGGCAGGTGCGTGAGTAGGTTAGTGCCCCCATCTTAGACGGTGTTCTTGTGCACCCCTCCCTCCCTCGTTTCCCCAAGCAAGCACATCATGCCGGGCTGAGCAAAACAGTTTGAGGTGGGGGCTCCCGTTAACTGGCCCTTAGAAGTGAGTGCTGGCTTCCGCAATGCAGCCGGGCGGATGGTACCGCTTGCCTACTCCCGGAGCCAGTCCAGGCTGCTGGGGAGAGAGGCTCCAGAGCAGGTAATGAAGTCAGGGTGCCAAGTCCTTTCCCGAAAGCAGCAAACATCTCGTGTGGTTGCTGATCTCATCCAGCTGTTTCCTGAAAGAAGCCAGGATATGGGCTTTAGCGTCATGTGCTGGGTAGCTTGTTCCACACTCCCACCACCCTTTGTGTAAAGAAGCGCCTCCTGTCCTCGATTCCATCTGCACTTCCCTGTAGATTCCACTCAGGCCCTCCCCCTCCCCCCAGTCTTGCATTGCCCCCTGCAGAACGGAACCCTGGAGGATTTTGCTCACTGGCATCGGGCTGGGATTCGAACCCTGCGCGGTGTGGGTGCCGTGCCGAGATGCACCCCATCGCCCTGCTCCCATCCAGCGGCGCCCCTTCCCCAGTCCCCCAGATTCCATCTCCTTTGCTTTCCAGCCAGGTTTTGCAGGCCTGTTTTTTTTTTTTTGTGGTTGTTTTACACACAGGGACAGCTGCCAAAGCGCGGCTGGCGGAGACAGACCATTTGCTGGCTGTCTGGAGAGGGCCCAGGCTGGAGCAGAGTCAACAGGAAGGCCAGTGGGGGTGGGTCGGTGGGGTGTGGGGATCCTGGAGGGGGTGGCCGGTGTGTGTGTGTGTGGGGAGTTAGGGTGGGGCATCAGTGCAGCGGCTCCTCTGGTTGTCGGACTTGACGCAGCTGGGAAACATCCCAGGAGGCCCTGCTCCGCCCGCGGATGGACGTTCCGGGTCTCCTGCTCCGCGGAGAAGGGAGATTTCCGTCCCCCCCGACAGTGGGGCCTGGTCATGGTCTCCGAGGCGGCAGCGGCACGGAAGCGAAGATGGCGCCCCCTGTCTCTGGGCGCCGGTTTTGCATCATGCCGCTCCTTCGCCGTCGGGAACAGTTGGCGCCCCTCCTTGGTGGGTTTGGTTCGGCGTCCGTTGCGCGCCCTGCGTTGGGGAAGACCCCCCTGCGCCCGTGTCCTGTGTGATCTCTCTCTCTCTCGCTGGGCGCGGGGGCTCAGGGCCGAGTGTTTGTCTGGAGGTCTGCGGGAGGAGGAGTCTTGTTTCCCACGGCCCCCTGGGAGAGCCCGAGTGGGTTTCTGGGTTTCTGAGCGCAGGCGGGGGTCAGAATCTGGGCACCCCCTCTCATGCACACACGAATCCCCCCCAGGGACCCCGCGGGGGGGCTGTGGAGCTGTGTGGAGTTAATTCAGCCCCAATCGGATGAGTGTGTGAAGTCGGGAGGAGCTCGGTGTAACGCAGGCCAGCCATTTCATTTGCGTGTGTGTGTTTGCAAGACAGTAATGAAGGACAGATGTGGAGGTGCTGCAGGGAATGATCCCACTGTCTGCCTGTGTGTGTGTGTGCACGCAGTAGTGCTGGCAGCAGGGTGTGTGTGGGGAGTGTGTATGTGTTTGTGTGTGTGAAGTGTGTGTGCAGTACTCCTGGCAGCAGGGTGTTTATGGGGAGTGTGTATGTGTTTGTGTGTGTGTGCAGTAATACTGACAGCAGGGTGCTTGTGTGGGTCGTGTGTCTGTGTGTGAGGTGTGTGCAGTAAAACTGACGGCAAGATGCTTGGGTGTGTGGGTTGTGTGTCTGTGTGTGAGGTGTGTGTGCAGTAATACTGACGGCAGGGTGCTAGTGTGAGGTGTGTATTGGCAGCAGGGTGTATGTGGGGAGTGTGTATGTGTGTGTGTGAGGTGTGTGGGGAATGTGTTTGCAGTATTACTGGCAGCAGGGGCCGGTGTGTGTTTCTGTGTGGAAACTGTGTTTGTGTGTACTACTATGGACAACAGGATGCCTGTGTGTGGGGGGTTTTCTGTGTGGAAACTGTGTTTGTGTGTAGTAGGATGGGCAGCAGGATGCCTGTGTGTGTGTGGGGGGTATGTACTGCATGTGTTTGCGTGTGTGGGGAGTGTGCACACAGCAGTACTGGCAGCAGGGAGTGTGTTTGTGTGTGTGGCGAGTGTGCACGCAGCAGTATTGGCAGTTAATAATCATGCCTGTGTTATTCTGTGGAGACGGAATGGGTTTGATGAGGGAGTTGGAACGAAAAGTCTGGAATCGACCCCATCCTGTCTTGTTTTAAATCAGAATCTGCCAGACGTGTTTGCTTTGGGTCTGTGTCTGCCCCGTGCGGAGCTTGGAACAGGAGAGGAGAACAGAATAAACCTTCCCACATCTATACGAATGCAGATGTGTGTCTGTGTGTGTCTGTGTGTGTCTGTGTGTGTCTGTGTGTGTCTGTGTGTGCGCAGCCTGTCCTGAGGAAAGGATCTTCTCAGAATGTACTGTGTTGCTTTCGTGGGGACGGAGGCTTCCTCCAGTAATTTTCTACCATTGCTTTAAGGGTGTGATGGATTTTTACAGGGCCAGTTAGAAGATCCTTAGTATCTCTGTGATCGCCGAGGCCCGGAGCCTCTCTCTGCCCACGTGACTGCCATACTCCAGTGGACGTGTCCCCCCAGCCTCTGTGGAAACTCTGTGGATGGATTGGTATTGAATCATTGTTCTTGTTGGAATGTGTTCAACAGCCACTAAGTGCTGTCCAGTAAGTGCGTGCAGTTTGTTCAGCTTGGCAGCTCTGCAGGGCTGATCTAAGACTCCACTGTAGTCCTGAGAGGCCCCCTGTTCTTCCTACATCCACTCCTTGAAGCTGCCCCCCTTATAAACAGCACCGACAGGGAAACCCAGCCCATTCGTGAGTGCTGTAGAAAGTATTTGTGCTGCTTTCGTTCTCCCGAGATATAGCGCCTTAAATCTTTGGGGATCTGACGTCGCTCACCACCCTGTCCCTCCGGAAAGACACGGGAGAGCCGAACCCGTCTCATTCTGTAGTGCCCTGCCTGTGCGGTTCGTGCTGTTGAAAGTAGCTTCTGAAGAGCTCTCATTCCCGCAATATAGCGCCTTTTTCCGGCGGCTGAGTGGCATCGCATCCCCGACAGAACAAGGTGCTGCATGTGGAGAACGAAGGAAGCAAAACCAGCACCAGTGGATCAGTGCCGAATGCCGGGGGTTTCACTGTTGGTGCCGTTGGTAGGAGGGCCAGCTTCACAGCCCTTCTAACCTCACCCGCGATGTGGGTGCTGCCACCTAGTGGCTGTGTGCTCAATAACCGACACACTGGTGCACCAGTGGAAAGAGGGGGCAGGGAGTTCAGTTCAATTCAAAGCACCTTATTCATCCCCAAGAGGCAATTTATGCAGCAGGCAGTGCGAGGGAGAATACATTCCAGATAAATCCGGTAAAAAACATGGTATCACAGTATTCCAAAGAAAAAAAGAATCAAAAGGCCCATATAATGAGTTACAAAGTGCATGTACGTTGTATCTATTATTATTATTATTATTATTATCTTTCACTTTAAGTGCTTTTCTGGACACTCCACTCAAAGCACTTTACAGGTAATGGGGATCCCCTCCACCACCACCACCAGTGTGCAGCCCCACCTGGATGATGCAATAGCAGCTATAGTGCACCAGTACACCCATCACACACCAGCTCTCAGTGGGGAGGAGAACAGAGTGATGAAGCCAGTTCAGAGATTATTAGGAGGCCATGACTGGTAAAGGCCAGGGGGAAACTTGCCAAGGACATTGGGGTAACACCCCTACTCTTTTCAAGAAACATCCTAGGATTTTTAATGACCACAGAGCGTCATTGAGAGACTCAGTTTAACGTCTCATCAGCTCTTCCAGCAGTAGCCTTAGCTTTCCCAGGAGTCTCCCATCCAGGTACTGGCCAGGCTCACACCTGCTGAGCTGCAGGGGGATAGAGCTGCTGGCCCCAAATCGAGTGCTGTACGATAGTGTTGGGGGTCTGTGCAGACAGTGACGTGAATGTGTCACCCCTCAATTCTGCCCCAGTCTCTCTCAGGTGCACACTCGTTTTTTGGGGGGGCGCTTGGTGGCCGTGCAGTGGGTTCCCCAGCCTGTCGAGGGGAGTTTGTGGGGTGCAGCACGCGGGTGTCCTGGCAGTGCGGGAGGGAGCGGACTGGATCACAGCCAGCGGGCAGAACCGTCTCCTCGCAAACACAAATGCTGCCGTTCTCCGGCAAGGGAAAAAACGCGCCCGGCAGCTCTGTCGGGCCCCCGTCTGTCTTCCCAGGAAAAACCGTTGGAATCGGACAGAGACAGAACGGGAGTGGGCCGGGAGATGGCTTGGTCTCGGATGAGCTGAGAAACGTGCTGGTTTTCAAGGCCCTGAGTAGGAAAGGGCAGAAGAGGCCGAGGAACAAGACAGCGTTTTATTCCAACAGCACCTGCCTGTCCCGGTCCTCTCCAGCAGGAGAGGTTTTGTCTCCCGGATCACTAACCCCACTCGTCCTCTGGGCTTGCACCTCTTGAACAGAATCCATGTCATAAAGCTCCTTTAGAGCCATTTCAGGGTGTAAAAATGCTTAAAGGAGCAATAACCCCTGAGAAAAACACAAGGGTGTATATGTGAACAGGAAGAGCAGGGGAACGTTTCAGCTGATGAGCCACCTTTGGCGTCTTCTTTACACGTCAAGAAGGCCGAATCATTGCATTTCTCCTTTCTCATTTTCAGGCAGTCTCTACAAGCCGTGCTCGTGCTGTGCCGCCCAACTAAAGGTTAGCGGTTAGACTTAGATTGGCTCAGCATGAACAGTGAAACACAGGCCAGAAGATACAAGTGGAAATTAAGGAGAAGTGCAATTAAGACCGAGAACAGGAGGCACTTCTTTACACGAAGGGTGGTGGGAGAGTGGAACAGACTACCCTGCCATGGGGTTGAAACTGGCTTCCTTCAGGAAATGGCCAAATGAGACCCTTGGATCAATGAACTACTTGCTATCAAACGGGTTAGGAGGTCCAAATGCTCTCCTTTCTTATAATCCTCCACTGGACGCCAGAAGAAGCTGTGCAGTCCAGTCTCGAGCACACCTGCCTGTGTGACGAAGTGTGTCAAACTTAGACCCGTCTACTTTTCTGTGTCCCAGGGTGGTGAAGGAAGAGATATCGGATGACAGCGCCAAGCTTCCCTGCTTCAACGGAAGAGTTGTGTCATGGGTGAGGACTTCCGCCCAGGGGTGAAGGCACACGCCTCCTGTCTCCCAGCTCCCAGGCGACCTGTCCTGCAAAGGGCTTTTCTCCCAGGGATGGCTGCCAGGAGGTGTGCTGGGGAGGGGGGGGAGGAGATTTAGGGTGCACAGAAACAGATCCTTAGGCCATGTCACGGGCAGTAATTGCTTTTAGGTTCCCCTAAGTTTTTTTTAATAATTAAAATAAGGGGAAGATTTCTCTCCGTCCTTCCTCATCGCTCAATCGTCCTGCCTTCTCTGCTCACAGCTGGTGTCCTCGGACAGCCCCCAGACGGAGCCGTCGCCCCCCCCAGTGGAGGTCCGCGCCGAGCCTTCCCCACCCCCTCCTCCGCTTCCCCCGCCCCCCGCGGAGCGCCCTGGGGGTATCGGTGACTCCCGGCCCCCCTCCTTCCAGTAAGTCTTACCCCCCCCCCGGACGTCAGAAAAGATTTCATACCATTTACTGGGGAAACTGGATGGCACTGGATGTTAAGAATAAAAAGAGTAATAAGCTTGTAGTACAGTAGGGGGGATTCGTGTCCTCTTGATGAAATAATAGCGTTGATAGCCATCAAGACTAAATAATAGCGTTGATAGCGTTTGTGTTTGAATGAGTGAAACGGGGGTCCGAGTCGTGTTAAGTCCCTGGTGTCTGCCGACTGCGGTTTTGCAGCCCCAACGTGGCGGGCAGTCTGGAGAACCTGGACGACCACACGGAGACGGAGTCGGTGGGGTCTTGCAGGAGGGAGAGGCCGCGCCGGAGAGAGAGCTTGGAGCCGCACGGTGAGCCCCGCCCCTCGTGTCGCGGCCCCAGGGCAGTATGCACTAGAGGGTGCCTGCGTCTCTTCAGTTGGGAGCAATGGGATCCAAGTGTATTAAGATGTAAGGGGGTATAGAGAGTGACTTCTGAGTCTATGGAGACACAGGAACGTGGCTATCAGAATTGGAACCAAAAAGGAAACTGGTTTGAGGTGGGGGGGTGGGAAACAGTTCTTTACACCAAGAGTTGTGGGTGCCCACAACACGGGTCTCCAAGCTTTGGGTTCTTTAACAAAAAACGGTTAGGCGCCCCCTGGTGGATGCAGTCCTGCTTCCATTCGTATGTGTGTGGAGTTGGAACGGGGCACAGCGACAGTGGCACTGGCGTTCGGGTGACACTGCTGACTCCCAGTGCTGCGCCGTTGGGTGTGTTTTCCGGGGTGGGGAGCGCAGCTCCACGCTGCTTGAAAATGTGAGAAATTTGACATCAAAAGGAAATAAGGGGGGAACGCCAAGGGGGGCGTTTCCTGCTGCTGGGAGAGGCAGGGGTTCGGCTTTGGAGATTTGGGGAGCTTTACTCACCCCTCCCCTCTCCCGGCTGTCGGCAGGTCCTCGGCAGAACGGGCAGAGCAGGTTAGAGCGCCACCTAGCGGGCTACGAGAGCTCCACCACTGTGATGAGCAGCGAGCTAGAGACCACCAGCTTCTGCGACTCGGACGATGACGACACCATGAGCAGGTCAGCTGTGGCTGGGGCTCGGGGTTTTGTTGCAGGTTTCACTTCCTGAAGACGGGCTTTTGGTTTTGCACATGTTTTTGCATTTTCCAACCTCTCAAGTTGGAATCTCCTGACTGGAGGAGTGGGGTGTCCCTCACTGACACACTGTGAGCCCCCCCAGTGCCTGACAGGAGAGGGGTCCCTACTGGAGGAGTGGGGTGTCCCTCA